ACTTATATGTGGAATCTAAAATGTGAAATATATTTATCTATGAAACATAAACAGACTCACAGACATACAGCACAGGCTCCTGGTTGCCAAGGAGGAAGGGAGAGGTCGGGGGAGACAGGGATTGGGAGTTTGGGGTTAACAGATGCAAACTGTTATATATAGAATGATTGGAAGGGAAGAGGCAAAACTGTCACTATATGCAGATGACATGATACTATATATATAGAAAATCCTAAGGACTCCACAAAAAAACTACTAGATCTGATAAATGAATTCAGCAAAGCAGCAGGATACAAGATTAACATTCAGAAAGCAGTTGCGTTTCTTTACACTAATAATGAAATATCATCAGAAAGAAAATGTAAAAAAATACCTTTTAAAATTACACACCCCCCCTACAAACAACAACAGCAACAACTGAAAACCCTCAGGAATAAACTTCACCAGGGAGGTGAAAAGACTTAAAGGCTGAGAACTATAAAACATTAAGAAATTAAAGAAGATTCAAAGAAATGGAATGATATCCTATGCTCTTGAATTGGAAGAATATTGTTAAAATGCCAATACTACTCAAAGCAATCTATAAATTTAATGTGATCCCTATTAAATTACCCATGACATTGTTCATAGAACTAGAATAATCCAAAACTTTACATGGAACCATAAAAGACACAGAATTGCCAAAGCAATCCTAAGGAAAAAAAATAAAGCATGAGGCATAACTCTCCCAGACTTCAGACTACACTACAAAAATATAATAATTAAAACAGTGTGGTATTATCACAAAAACAGACACATGGATCAACAGAACAGAATAGAGAACCTGGAAATAAACCCACACACCTATGGTCAATTAATCTTTGACAAAGGAGGTAAGAATATAAAATGGGAAGAAGACAATCTTCAGCAAGTGGTGTTGGGAAAGTTAAATAGCTGCATGTAAATCAATGAAGTTGGAACACATCCTCACATTCTACACAAAAATAAACTAAAAGATGACTTGAAGATATAATCATAAGACATGACATCATAAAACTCCTAGAAGACAGCACAGGCAAAATATTCTGACATAAAATCATATCAACTTTTTTTTTGTCTCCCAAGTCAATATAAATAAAAGCAAACAAATAGGAAATATTTAAACTGACAAGCTTTTGTACAGCAAAGGAAACTATTTTATAAAAACAAAAAGACAATCTATGGACTAGGATAAAATTTTGCAAATGATGTGACTGACAAGGGCTTATATATACAAACAGTTCATACAATTCAACAACAACAAAACAACCCAATTAAAAAGGGGCAGAAAGCCTAAAGAGACATTTCTCCAAAGAAGATATACAGATGGCCAGCAGGCACATGAGAAGAGGCTCAGCATTACTAGTGAGAGAAATGCAAATCAAAACTACAATGAGGTATCACCTCACACCAGTCAGAATGTTGTCATTAAAAAGTCTACAAATAACAAATGCTGGAGAGGGTGGGGAGAAAAGGAAACCCTCCTACAGTGTTGCTGGGAATGTAAATTGGTGCAGCCACTATGGAAAACAACACCTGAGATTCCTTAAACTAAAAACAAAACTACTATATGATCCAGCAATCCCAACTCCTGGGCATATGTCTGGAGAAAACCATAATTCAAAAAGATACATGCAACCCGATGTTCATTGCAGCACTGTTTACAATAGCTTGGCTATTGTAAACAGAAGCAAACTCAATGCCCACTGCCAAAGGAATGGCTAAAGAAGATGTGGTACATATACACAATGGAATACTACTCAGCCATAAAAAAGAATAAAGTAACCACATGTGCAGCAACATGGACGCAACTAGAGATTCTCACAGTAAGTGAAGTTAGAAAGCGAAAGACAAATACCATATGATACCACTTAAACGTGGAATCCAAAGCATGAACCTATCTACAAAACGGACACAGACTCACAGACACAGAGAACAGACTCGTGGGTGCCAAGGGGCAGAGGGGTGGGGGAGGGATGGAGTCAGAGTTTGGGGTTAGTAGATGGAAACTATTACATTTAGAATGGATAAAGGACAAGGTCCCACTACATAGCACAAGGAACTACATCCAATCTCCTGGGATAAACCATAATGGAAAAGAATATAAAAAAGAATCTATACATGTGTATAATGGAGTCACTGCTATATAGCAGAAATTAGCGCAATACTGTATGCCAACTATACTTCAACAAAAAATAACGGATAAACAACATGGTCCTACTGTATAGCACAGGGAACTATATTCCATATCCTGAAATAAACCGTAATGGGTAAAAACGAGTATGCACAGGTAAAACGGAATCACTTTCTGTACAGTAGAAATTAATACAACATTGTAAATTGACTATACTATAATTTAAAAAAAAAAAGGAAGCAGTGTAGAGCTCAACGCGTCCGTATATCCTTGGAAAAGCCCAAGAGGGGTTGTTGGGCCACACGGTCTGAGCCCCAAAGCTGGAGCCTCAAAGTGGGAGGGGCTTCCTGCTCACAGCACCTTCCCTCCCCACCTCCACTCCAGCCTGAGGATCAAGGGCCGCTGCTTGGGCATCTCAGGGTGCATCCTCATGACCTCACCAACGGTGGAATGATGACAGTCCCGTTTGCCAAATGCCAAGGAACCCAGTTCAGAACAGAAACATACCATGTATGTCTGCTCATCTTTAATGCTCACATCAAATCCCAAGTGATCACACTCACTTTACAGAGGATACAGGCTCAGAGAAACACAGCAACTAGCCCAAAGTCAACCAACCAGATACAGATGTTTCAAATATGATTTGTTTCCCAAGGCTGGGTTTTTGCCTCTGCTTCCCTCAAGTCTGAAAAGTATATACATGTGGAACTGGAAACTGAGGCCTCTCGCCAAGCCAAGGCCCATGGACCGCAGACACATGACAGCTAGAAGCCCAGGGCAGCTTGTGACAGGCTGGGGGCACAGCATGCTGGAAAATCATCTTGAGAAAGAGGGCTCCGCCATGACACCCCCAATCAAGAGCTGCATGATGGTCCTGTCCCCCAAGCACAGGTACTGCCTGCCTGGCACAGCACATGTGCCCATGAACTTTTAAAGAAACGGAGGATGCCCTTTACACTTCCATGTTCCAACATCCAGGAGTACCTGTATCACCACACCTGAGACGTTCTCACCTGCATCCATTCCTCAGCCCCTGGTCCAAGGAAGCCCACCTTGCCCTGAGAAATCTCCCCACACTCTACCCCTGCCCTTGGCATGTGACCCCTCCCCACTCACTCACAGCTCTGGGAAAAAAAGTTTGCATTTCCAACCCTTGGCAACAGTGATTGGCTCAGCCTTGGGCATGTGACCCCATAGGAAGCCAGGGGATCCTCTGGTGGGCTCTTCACTGGGCTGAGTGAGTGAAGGAAAGGAAAGCTCAGTCATGTCCGACTCTTTGCGACCCCATGGACCACCAGGCTCCTCCGTCCATGGGATTTTCTAGGCAAGAGTACTGGAGTGGGTTGCAATTTCCTTCTCCAGGGGATCTTCCTGACTCAGGGATCAAACCTGCATTGCGGGCAGACGCTTTTCTGTCTCCTGTGTAGAATTCAAGAAGCCAGTCCTAGGCTTCCCTGGTGGTCTAAGAATCTGCCTGCCTGCCAATGCAGGGGACACAGGTTCGATCCTTGGTCTGGGAAGATACCAAATGCTGTGTGGCATCTGAGCCTGTGTGGCACAAGTACTGAGCCAGAGCACAAGAGCCCACAAGACTCAACTACTGAAGCGCACATGCCTAGAGCCCGAGGTCTGCAACCAGAGAAGCCACCGCAACGAGCAGCCCGAGCACTGCAACAAACAGTAGTCCCTGACTGGTGCAACCAGAGGCCCCAGAGGAGGCCCACACACAGCAACAAAGACCCAGCAGAATCATAAGTGAATAAATAAATAAACCTTACAAAATTAAAACAGTCAGTCCTGATTTCATTTACTTCTGCCTTGGATGCAATCAAATCAAGACCGATGGCCCCCAGACCCTTGAGACCACCAGACTCTGAGCTCTGGAATCGGATGCTCTTAAGATTATGACGCACTGGATTAACAACATGCCTTTGTTGAGACAGATGAGACACAGTGGACAGTATTTACATGTTGTTTTCCATTAAAACTTGGGTCAATTTTAAATCCACTTACTAAGAAAACAAGATGCTTTCCTGGACTACTAAAAGGTTTAAAGTTCCAAGGCTGTAACCTTGAGACTCTGCATGCCTATTTTAGGAGACTACATCTGTTAGATAGTTTGTGGCAGGACAGCATTCACTTTATGTTGGAAATGGTTCAGCTTGAAGCATCTTCCTCACCAAGTCGGATCAACTCACTGATGAGGACCTCTCACAGCCTGGTTGGAAATGACACAGCCGCCACTCTCTCCCAGGAGGAGACACATGGTCCGAGGCATTCCTCCTCAGAAAAAAGTTAAACCATACACCTTCTAAGAGATTCACATGAAACAACGTGACGTAAAATGGTGGCTTTCTGAGACAGAAATCCACAGCTGCTGCCCATCCTCTTGTCTGGGGCTGGAACTACCAACCAGAGGAAGCAGAGTCAAGAGGCCCTCGTGACAGCATCCAACTCTTGAACTGAGGCACACGGCAACCGATTCGCCCCGGGGTGCCTGGCACTGGCCATGATCCTGGCCTTCGACAGGCCCGCCCTGTGTGCCTGGGGTTCCAGGGAAGTCGGGCTAAAGTGGCTGAACAACCAGCTTTTCATCCCCCTTGTCTTCCCTCCAGTTATAATCTTCTGACCCCAGTTAGAACCAGGTGGGGTTCCTTCCCCCCCAGTTGAGGACAGCTTGTCTAGAAGGGACCCAAAGCACTGAGGAAACTACAAGTTTGTCTCAGGAAATGGGGCCACCCAGGGGCTTCGGCAGAGCCAGCTGGCACTCAGGGAAGAGATATATGGCGGGGGACCTCCCCAAGGACCACGGCCCCGATCGAAGCCTACACCCAGCTGCCGGTCTTACCGGATGGTGGGCTGGTCTCCGCTCAGTTGCTTAAACCTCCGGTGGAGCTGCTCGATCTGGTCTGATGAGACTGTGGGGGAAAAAAAAAGGAAAGAAAAGGCATCACTGACCTCTGAACTCAGAGCTGCCAGAAGCAGGCTGCACCCTCATCCCCACCCACCTGTTTGGGCTCATTCTCGGGCCATGCCCCACCAAGGCAAAACCAAGCGCAGGATGCAGGAGCAGAGACAGGGTCTGCCATTCCTCCTGGTAACACCGCTCTGGGGTTACTGGCTCTGACCCCCTCAGCAATAGGACAATTACTACTAATAACAGCTCCTGGAGAACAGGATGAACGTGAACCAGGTCACCCTCTCCTTCCTCAGCTCGTTAAAAGAAATCGTATCAGCTTGTCTGGCTTTCTCCCCTCCCACTCCTGAAGATGGGTGTCTTCCCTGATGAGAAAGGGGGTTCGTGTGTCACGTATTAAGAAACAGAGGAGGAGGGGAGGACGAGATGGTTCAGGCTGGTGCCGGAAGTGATTCGGGGGAGACCTGTAGTCAGAAGAGTACAGAGCATCTGGTGAAAGCGAGGGAAGTGGAAGGAAAAGAAACAGACTTTTGATCACTGCCACTGTGGGCGATGTATTTACATAACCTCAACTGTTTCATTTTTTTCCTTTCCGGTTTGAGATATAATTGATGTACAGCCCAGCACTGTAGACGTTTAAGGTGTACTGCATAATGATTTGACTCACACAATGAGTGAAACAGTGTCCACGTTTAAGTTTAGTGAATATCCATCTCATATGCAAAATTAAATAAATCACCAAAGGAATCAAAGACAAAATTAAAAAACACCTAGAGATAGATGACCATGAAAACACAATGATCCAAAACCTATGGGATGCAGCAAAAGCAATTCTAAGAAAGAAGTTTATAGCAATACAATGGTACCTCAGGAAATAGGAAAAACCTCAAATAAACACCCTAACCTTACACCTGGAGCAACTAGAGAAAGAACAGACAAAACTCAAAGTTAGTAGAAGAAATCATAAGGTCAGAGCAGCAATAAATGAAACCTCTGTTTCAAACCAAGAAAACAAAAGAAAAGATCAATGAAACTCAAAGCTGGTTCTTTGCAAAGATAAAGAAAATTGACACAGTTTTAGCCAGACTCATCAAGAAAAAAAGGGAGAGGCCTCAAATAAAATAAAAAATGAGAAGTTACAATGGACATCACAGAAATACAAAGCATCATAAGAGATTACTCTAACAACTGTAAGTCAATAAAACAGACAACCTAGAAGAAACAAATTCTTAAAAAAAAAAAATTACTTATTTATTTATTGGTTTTGTTTCGGCTGTGTGGCCCCCGAATGGCATGTGGGATCTTAGTTCCCTGACCAGGGACTGAACCTGCACACTCTGCCGTGGAAGCGTGGAGTCTTAACCACTGGAATGCCAAAGAACTCTCCCGGACAAATTCTTAGAAAGGTACAACCTTCCAAGACTGAACCGTGGAGAAATAGAAAATATGAACAGACAAATCACAAGTGCTGAAATTGAAACTGTGATTAAAAATCTTCCAACAAACAAAAGTCCAATACTAGATGGCTTCTCAGGCCAATTCTGTCAAATGTTTAGAGAAGAGTTACCACCTATACTTTTGAAACCCTTCCAAAAAATTGCAGAGGAAGGAACACTCCCAAGCTCATTCCACAAGGCCACCATCACCTCGATACCAAAATCAGACAAACACACCACACAAAAAAAGAAAATTATAGGTCAGCATCACTGATGAACATAAATGTAAAAATCCTCAACAGGGCTTCCCTGTGGTCCAGTGGTTAAGAACCTGCCTTGTAACACAAAGGCTATCAGATCGATCCCTGGTCCTGGAAGATCCCACATGCCTCGGGGCAGTTAAGCCCATGTGCCACAACTACGGAGCCTGCTCTCTAGAGCCCGGGAGCTGCAACTATTGAGCGCACACACTGCGACTACTGAAGCCCACATGCCTAGAGCCTGTGCTCTGCAACGATGCGAAGTCCCCACACCAATGAAGAGTAACCCCCGCTTGATGCAACAAGAGAAAGTCTGTGTGCAGCAGTGAAGACCCACCAGGGCCAATAAATAAGTATATAAATATTTAAAAAAAAATTCTTAACAAAATACTAGCAAATCGAATCCAACAATACATTAAAAGGAACACACACCATGATCAAGTCGGATTTATCCCAGGGATGCAAGGATTCTTCAATATCCTCAAACCAATTGATGATATACCACATTAACAAACTTAAGAATAAAAACCAAATAATCATCTCAATAGATGCAGAAAAAGCTTTTGACAAAATTCAACACTCATTTATGATAAAAATTCTCCTGAAAGTGGGCATAGAGGGGACTTATCCCAACATTAAAAAGCCCATATATGACAAACCCAGAGATAACATTATTCTCCATGATGAAAAGCTGAAAGTATTCCCTCTAACATTAGGAACAAGACAAGGATGTCCACTGTTGCCACTTAAATTCAACAGTTTTGGAAGTCCTAGCTATAGCAATCAGAGAAGAAAAAGAAACAAAAGGAACACAAATTGGAAAAAGAAGTAAAACTGTCACTGCTTGCAGATGACATGATACTATACATAGAAAATCCTAAAGATGCTACCAGAAAACTGCTAAAGCTCAATGAATTTGGTAAAACTGCAGGATACAAAATTAGTTACACAGAAATCATTTGCATTCCTAAACACTAACAATGTAAGGGCAGAAAGAGAAATTCAGGAAATAATCCCATTGTACCAGAAAGAATACCTAGGAATAAACCTACCTAAGGAGGCAGAAGAACTGTAATCTGAAAAACTACAAGACACTGCTGAAAGAAATTGAAGATGACACAAACACATGGAAAGGTATCCTACATTCTCCGACTGGAACACCTTTAGCAGTGCCCCGGGCAGAGCGGATAGGCCCTCCAGTCGGAGATGGGGAAACCCACTTACTGTGACCCAGGAGAGGCTGCTCAAGAGGTCTTCAACAAAGGATATGGATCTGGCATGGTCAAAATAGATCTGGGAACCAAGTCACATAGTGGAGTGGAATTTTCTACTTCTGCTAATGCTTACACGGATACAGGGAAAGCGTCAGGCAACCTAGAGGCAAACACAAGGTTGGTAACTAAGGACTGACCTTCACCCAAGAGTGGAACACAGACAATACTCCTGGGACAGAAATCGCTTGGGAGAGTAAGTTGGCTGAAGGACTGAAACTGACTCTTAATACCATATTTGTACCGAACACAGGAAAGAAAAGTGGGAAATTGAAGGCCTCCTATAAATGGGATTGTCTCAGTCTTGGCAGTCATGTTGGTATAGATTTTTCTGGACCAACCATCTATGGCTGGGCTGTGCTTGCCTTTGAAGGTTGACTTGCTATCAGATGAGTTCTGACACAGCTGATTCCAAACTGTCACAGAATAATTTTGCCTTGGGTTACAAGGCCGCAGACTTCCAGCTGCACACTCACATGAACGACAGCACGAATTTGGAAGGTCCATCTACCAGAAGGTGAGCAACAAGACTGAAATGTTAATAAATGTCATGTGGATGGGTGAGAGGAACAATATCCACTTTGGCATCTCTGCTGAGACTCTCTCTCCATCTCACGCTGGACTCTAGAACCTCTCTCTCTGCTAGAGTAAATAATACCAGCCTGACTGGGTTACACTCAGACCCTTCAACCTGGAGGGAAACTGACCCTTTCAGCTCTAACTGATGGAAAGAACATCAATGCAGGAGGGCACAAAGTCGGGCTGGGGCTGGGGCTGGGACTGGGAGCTAATGTGGTTTGGGAGTCAAGCATCAGCTTTGTCCCTGGAGGTGAAGAGAAATGTGTTTGGGCCTTAAAATTCTTCTGTGAAATTTCAAAAGCATGAACTTTTTATTCTTCCAAAGAATTGTGGCCCTCCCCACACTGAAGCCTAGGTTCTGAGCCCATCCTAAGGGGAGGCGTGTTTGAAGGCACGCCCAGAGGTTTCATGTTCATGCCACCTGTCAGTTCCGCAGTGTTACCTTCAACGTGCTCCTCAGGACAGTGTAGGCATGTCCAAAGGAGATGACCTGACCCTCTGGTTGTCCATCATGTCCTGCATGTCCCATACCACTTTTTCATGACCTTGTAACAAACTGATCTCTGTGCAGTAGTGGAATCTTTGGTTTTGCATGAGATTAAAATAAAATAAACCCATCACATCTGGAACATAAATAAATAAATGGAAGACTGTACTTTTTGAAGCTAAGCCGCTTCAGTCATGTCTGACTCTTTGCGACCCTATGGACTGTAGCTTGTCAGGCTCCTCTGTCCATGGGGTTCTCCAGGCAAGAATACTGGAGTAGGTTGCCATTTCCTCCTTCAGGGGATGTTCCCGACCCAGGGATCAAGCCTACATCTCTTACATCTCCTACATTAGCAGGCAGGTTCTTTACCACCTGAGAAGCCCCTAAAAAACACACAGGTGTCTATATGTCTGATTCTTTGTGATCCCATGGACTGTAGCCTGCCAGGCTCCTCTGTCCATGGAATCCTCCAGGGGAGAATACTGCAGTGGTTTGCCATTCCCTTCTCCGGGGGTTCTTCCCAACCCAGGGATCGAACCCGGGTCTCCTGTATTACAGGCAGATTCTTTACCAACTGAATTGTCTTCATCCAATTCCTCCTCTCCCCATCCCCAATTTTTTCAGAAAACCCACATACAGGTTTGCTTTTTTTTAATTACCATTTTTAGAGGATGGGCCCTGTGTTCTTCCACAGCTAAGACTAGACCTGATGGGTTCCAGGATTTAGAGGGTTTCCACCCACATGCTTGTTTTGTGAAATGCACAATATTAGATACTTCTGTGTACCTTCTCACTTCCTCCTCAAAACACCCTGTGAACAAATACTTTTCTCCTCTGTTACATCATTGGAAAAGTGCAGCTTGGAGGGTGCTGTGCTTACACAACTGTGATTGGCAGAGTTGAGATTCATCCCCAAGTCTCTCCAACTTCAAAGACCCCCACCTTTAACCGCTTCGCAACATTGCCTC